ACGACCACTAGAAATGGCCTCGTAAGTGCAAAAAAATGAAAGGGGAGCCCCCTGACTTGGGGGAAAGGAGACGTGGTGCTCCAAGGAAGCCAGCGAAGACTGTTGGCGAAGGGCGAGCAGGTGGGATCCCCTGAGAACGGGAGAGAGAAAAATGCCGTGAACAGAGGGTTAGACTAAGCCGGCGTCTCAGGGGAAGGAGCTGGGCCAGCTTTACTGTTACTTAGCATTTTGCCCCAGACCTTAGGCTCAGAAGATCGTTAAATTTCTTCTGGCCCCTGAATTGTACCAGGAAGTGGTGATGGCCTGTCAAGTCCTAGAGAATGCTTGAGTTAAAATAAAGGAACACCTTCCCTGTCCAGTTTTGCTGTAGGTATCATACGAGACAGTGAAGGTGAGAAGAAATACCAACTTGACAAGAAAAAATAAACGTTAACTTTTGATGAAAATATTTGCCAGTTTGCTCCATTTGGCTAAGAATGACTTGCCTGGACTAGTGTGAAACTTACTTGAAGCCCAAAAAAAGGATACCCTGAAACAGTGTTAAAAGAAGAAATTAAAATAACACTTGCCATAGCTATAAGGGGCAAACTGGCAGAGGGTGGAATTACATTGTATTTGACCTCTGAGCCTCCCTTCAGCTTGTTCAGTAGTTTAGTGCTCCATCACAGTTAAATGACAGTCACGTGCGTAATTTTGTCTGGTGACTGTCAGGTGGAAGGGCCAGCATCACTCCAACAGGCGGGGAGCCGAGCATGGTGACACAGCTGGCAGAGCCAGGGGCCTTTTAGGATGTTGCCAGCTCCGCTCCCTGGGTCCTTGTCTTCCTCTGGGTCATCTTTTTGCTGCTGGTATTTCCCTTAATCCCTTCATGACCCTTCGCAGTCCTGCCACTCTCAATTCCAACGGCACCCAGGCTTTCTTAATGCGCTTCTGTATTCCTGGTTGTTTACCTCTCCCTATTCCCACTGCCCATGTGCTTCCTTTTAGCGTTCAGTCTCAGTCAGGGAGTCCCACTCCACACCCGCCTGTTTCGCCTGTATCAGGATGGATGATTCTTGAGCAGCGAGAGGATTGCCCTTAGGACTGAACACTTGTCTCAGGGTGCTTTGCTTTTGGGCTGGTCACTTTGTTCCTGGTGTGATCACATGTCACGTTCTGCTCATGACAGCCTTGGGACACTTTGCCGTAGCTTCTTTGAGGGCAAGAGCCACTTTCTAGAGGGTTAGCTACTGTATCTTTAGCTACTGTATCTTTAAGTGAGAACTGAGATGATGAAGCCAGAGTTTAAGAAGGGAAATGTTGCATTTTTCTGTGAGGTCATGTTACAGATTAAGTCTGAGTTCTGGTGAGCTGTATGACATCACTTCTCCTTCATCAATGTTAGCTATTCCCTAAACCAGTGTGAACACCACTTATCATGCCACAATAATAATTACTATATAGTGGTTGTTATTATAACCATTGTCCAGTACTACTGGTCTCTCCAATTGAATTTCAGGTCTCGTAAGTTTTATATATCCTACAAAAACAATGCAGGATGAACGTGAGGTTGGACAAAATTGCAGTAAATCTCTTCTGGTGAGTGGCAAGCCCACTTTACATCTTTAAGTATGTTTTAACACTGACAGGGAAATGTTTTTGTGCCTGTACTTTTCTTACTAACTTCGCTGAACCATTCCTAAAGTCCGTCTTGGGATTGTTGTGGGTTTTTTTACTTTCACCAGATCCATGCTGTTACCGACAATCGTGGGAACAGAGATGGTGCAAGGGAGCTACTGAGCAGAATAGTGCAGAAAAAAGATTGGTTCTCTCCTTTTTTGATTGCTCTGCGCGAGACTCAACATGGAGACCTCGCAAATGATTTAAGCGGAAATACAGGAGGTAATTGTCTTATTTCACTAGTACTAATGTGTGGGGTTTTAATATATCTCTTTTTTTTACTGTTATTTAGGAAACAATGCAGGGTTCTCACGGTATTGATTGTGCCATAACACTAAGATGAATGCTTTCACTTGTCTGGGTATTTCAAATTCAAGTTACTTGACAGCTTATTCAATAGATTCTTAAAACACTAAAAATCTGGTTTTCAGTGTGATGATTTTATAACAATTAATAAAAAATATTCTGAACATTAACCTGAACAAGCAAAACCTTTTCTGGATTTCTCCTTCAACACAGGGATCAGTGTTTCCTTTACAGAATGATTTACAAATAAATGTGGCATTTTAAAGTATACTACAGTATGGTTTTGGGGGCTAAGACATTCATAAGTCTCAAGACATTGTATCTATCAATAATACAATAAACCATTAAAGAGATTATTTACAGAAATGAAACTGAAAGAGCTATATAGTTTTGATTACTACTTTTTGTTCCTCTACAATGATTATGATATCATAAAATTATCCTAGTGCTCCCCTGGATTCTAGAATATGAAAAAAGGTGCCCCCAGCTACTCTGTAGCTCGTTTTTTTTACTGGGCTCCACATATGTTTTATGAGATTTTTGAGACTTAATTTTTTTTTAACAGATTTCCCATTTAGCAGCTTCAGCCTCCTCTGCTGAGGAGCTCTCCAGCGCTATGTCTCTCCTCTTTTGGTTGCTGCCGACGGGACAGCGCATGAAGGTTGGGCTAAGAGGGGCGGGAAGGTGCCTCTTCCAGTTGAGGACAGCAATCAGCCTGTCTTCTGCCAGACACCGCTAAGCACCTGCCCCATCTGAGGGCGCATTTCAGAGGTGGTTGAGTGTTCCAGTCTGCAGGAAAAGACCAAGTTAAAGCCTCGGAGGATGGTTCTGAGTGAAAGTCAGATGCTGGCAATAGCGCAGCAGCTACTGTGGCCCTAATTTTCGTGTTGGGGCTTTCTCAGACTTAAATTCTTGTCTTTGTTACTTTGCTATCAGTAAAGTAAACAAAGAAATATGTAGCAAATACGCAATTTTTATTTTTTTTCATATTTTTATCTTAAATTCTTTCCAAACTTTTTAATTTCTGAATTCTCAGTGTAGTACAGAACATAAAGGATAAAACAAGTTTAATTCAGTTGTTTGATGCAATACCTAGTGAGCGCATTTCTTCCGCAGATTCTCAGTAGTTATGGGCAACGCAGGCCCTAAAAGAAACTGTACAGACCAACAAGTAAAGCATGCGTTGTGTGGCTAAAAGAAGTTTTCCATGTACATAGCCCTGGATGTTTGTAGACAGGTAAAGTGTACGGTTGCTGTAGCATCCACTGCTACGAGGTCATAGCCAGGAAACCCTAAGAATAGCTTTATTGGATGCCTTGGAAAGAGAAGAGTGGTGCTACATTTTGTTGCTGCAGGTTGATTCTCAGTGATTTGTTGCAGTAAAATACATTTTTACTAGCAGACACCTACACAGAAATTGAGAGCTTTATAACAAATACATCTTGTAATAAATCTATTAGTTTAATTTCTAATTATAGAGTAATCGAGTTAATGTTCATAATGTATTGAACAGCATTTTTGCCTTTGGAGCAAGCCTAGTTCTGCATGAGCCTACTAAAAATAAAAGAACAGAGAAGTCAAAGGGAAATGATTTTCACATTTTAAATAAGAAAGAAGTGGAAGGAGCAAAAACATTTCATGAATTCTCGGATTTTCTGGTTTATGGGCAAGTTTTGAAGTCCTTCTCTAAAGTACATCCATTTAAGGGCTTACAGGACCAGCTGAATGAGAAATTAAATTTTCAGATCTTTATAGTAAATACAACTATTTGAGATTTATGACCAACAGCTTTCTTAAATATTTATAAAACCATCAGAATTTCAAATTATAATGTTTAAGTCAAGATCAAGACCATATGTTATGCTGTTATGTGTGGGATGAATACAGCCTAGCTGTATGTTCTGTGTGCTCCACACTAAAAGAAATCAAATGTTTTACAGTGCCTTGGAATTCCTATTTATTTTCTAGGAACAGAGAATAGACAAAATGGGATGAAGAACAGCACAAACAAAGAAACAGAAGTTACAAGCCAACCAGCATATGCCGTAGTGGAGGATTTGAAACAGCAAGAGAAAGAAAATGATAGTTTGAGCAGTGAGAACAGTGTATTGGAAACATCTACTGGAAAGGATTCTGTAGTTTCAGGTATGTCCACTGACCGGTATTTTCTGCTGGCGCCAGTTAAGTGTTAGTAACTGAGTAACTGAGAGAACGCTCTTGTTCAAAAATTCAGGAACATATGGTCCTGTCAAGGTGAAGGTAAAGAATGGAAAAAGTAAATCTTGGTTTTTTGGAAGCAGTAAATTCCATTTCTTCCTACTGAATCAACAGCACCAGCAACTTTAAGAGTCAGACCTTCAAACTTGCTCACTTGAGTTCAAGGAGTTGCACTAGGGCAGAACGATGTTGTCATACTTGAGCTCATTAATCTGAAAGGTACAAGCTGGTTCAGGAGCCAACTTGCTAGCATAGTACAGAGTGGATTAGGAGGACATGGCCAAAAAATCTGTAGCACACTATGTGCAGCCTTCATGTAGACATTCTTTATCATGATTGTAGTGAGGATGTTTTACCTACTATTGGCTGCTTAGTTTTCTTCTAATGAAGTGACGTTAATGATCTCACTTTCCTCGTAAATAAGACTTCTAATGACTTTGTGTTTTTTTTTTTGTATTTACTCTGTGAAAAAAAAGTCATTTGCAAACATATTTTAATATTGGTAATTTTAAATATTATTACATTAATACTTTATTTCAGACCTATTCGTTGTAGGTTTTTACTATCCAATGAAAACATTACATTGATGACTTCTCCCAGTGTTCACAAAGTTCAGATCAAAAGGAATGTTTCTGTACCACTATAACTGCAGCTGTATTAAGTACTTGTCGTGGTTTGAGTCCACCCAGCTGGCAACAAAGAGCCACAAAACCACTTGCTCACTCCTACCCTACTCCTTTTCAGGATAGGGAGGAGAAAATCCAACAAAATCCTTAAGGATCAAGATTAAGGACAGGGAGGACTCGCTCATCACTTATGGTCATGACCAAAACCAGGGTAGACTTGAGAAGAAAACATTGATTTAATTTAAGCAACGGAACCACCACCAGTTTACCGGTCACTTCTATCAGAGTAGAATAGTGAGAAAACAAGCACAACCAGGTCTTAAAAGCACCTTTCCCCCACCCCTCCCTTCTTCCTGGCTGCCTCCTCTGAGCCAGCAGCAGAGCCAGGCAGGGAATGAGGGCTGTGGTCTGCCCATTGCATGTTGTCTGCACCGCTCCTTCCTCCTCAGGGAGAGGACTTGGTCTGGAAAACATGCCCTATGAAGAGCAGCTGAGGGAACTGGGTTTGTTTAGTCTGGAGAAGAGGAGGCTGAGAGAAGACCTTATTGCCCTCTACAACTACCTAAAAGGAGGCTGTAGTGAGGCTGGTGCTGGTCTCTTCTCTCTAATTACTAAGGACAGGACAAGGGGAAATGGCCTCAAGTTGCGTCAGGGTAAGTTTAGATTGGATATTCGGAGGAAGTTCTTTACTGAACGAGTGGTGAGGCACTGGAACAGGCTGCCCAGGGAGGTGGTGGAGTCACCAACCCTGGAGGTGTTTAAAAAAAAAGTAGATCCAGCACTTGAGGCTGTGGTGTAGTGGTTAGGTGTGCTGGGATGAAGGTTGGACTAGATGATCTTCAGAGGTCCCTTCCAACCCCGAACATTCTGTGATTCTGTGACTCCTCTCAGTCTTTCCCTGCTCCAGTGTGGTGTCCCTGGTGTGGGAGACAGCCTTCCTCAAATGTGAGTCCTTCCCACAGGATCACGGTTCTTCCCAAACAGCTCCAGTGCCTGTACTTCCCATGGACTGCAGTCAGCCCCAGCGCAGGCTTCCCTCCAAGTCACGGCATTCTTCGGGTGCGATCACGTATTCCGGTTTTGCTGTCTCCACAGACTTCTCTGGCTGCAGGGGCTCAGGCCACAAGGAGATCTTCAATCCACAGCACTTGGCCCCCAGGTGCGGAAACACCCACCTGGTTGGTTCTCTCACCCACCGCCCCTCTCCAAAACAAAGAACTCCCCAATACAGAGGAGCGGAAGTTGCGCACCAGGTTTCCTCTCCTAAATACTTTGATCAAAGAGGTGTTGGTCGGTTTGGCCATACCATGAGACGTGGCTCTGGAAGATTCACATAGGAGCCACCCCTGTAGCCCTCCCACGACCAAAAAACCCCACCAGACACAAACCCTTGTTTATAGAAGACTGGCAGTTCTATGCTGAAAAATATTTTTGGGTTAGAGCTGTCAAACAAGTAATTCTGTTTAAGGATTTGTATTTACAGAGCATCAAACCACCTTTGTCACAGTACATGCCTAGAAGTACATTTTTTAGTACAGATTTTTAGAAACTGTTGTGGCATGTTCGTATGGATCTACTTTTAAAAACATCAGCTTTGGGAGCTTTATGATCAACAGCAGTTACCAGCAACAATTCCTGAACATAGCTGAGAACCAATGCTGTATGATTAAGGAACCATTCTTATGTGTTACAAGTTCAGACAGAACTTGTAACAATAGTTACAGCTGAGGTCAATCCTGCTTGAAATTTAGTGGGTTTACTCAGCCACAAAAAATAGAACAGCTAAGGCTGCTCTTTTTGATCAAATATGAATATATTTTTTTTAAAAAAAGGCTCTGAAAACTGGAGCTTTTCAGTGTGCAACAGTAGTAGCCTGTTTCTCTTTTAGCATGATATTAACAGCATATCACGATGTTTTGTAGCAAGTAGTGAATTAACTGCAGCAAAAACCCATCAACTTGGTTTTCCTGGATTAGAACATAATTCAGCAGTATAAGGAAGAGGTGCCAAATATTTAATGATGATTCAGAATGGATCAGACTGAGTTATCCTCACTCTTAGCTAGGATACCTTCAGGTGAAAGCTCAGGTTCTCAATTGTAGCCTCACCGAGGGCTGCTTTTCATGGGTGTTAGCCTGATCTTTTACCTGACTCTTGTCGGGTTGACAGTTAGAGATAACTAGAGCAATTAGCTGTTAACTAGCCTGCCAGAAGGTAATTCTAGCCTGAAAACTGGTCTCCTCAGTACTGAACTGTACTGACATTAAGACAGTGGGTATCAGCAGTGTGTGCAGTTGAGCGGGTC